CTAGAGAAAGCATGCATGAGTTGGTTTTCCGGTGCGTTGCTAACGCCAAAAATGGGGTTTTGTGATTTCCCGCCCCGTTGCAAGTATCGCAACGAACTTCCTCCTACCACGCTAGAGAAAAGCGTGCATAAGTGGTCGTTCGCCGCGTGAGAAAGCTAAATCTGGCCAACGGTTTTGGTGCGCGCTTTAAATCCCGGCGATGGTTAAATCCCGGATTAAGGATTTACAGCTTAATCCCATATTTACTAAATCCCTTGGTTCGGCATATTTAAGGGATTTGGCCAAGCAGAGCGCGTGAAGGAGAAAGTTACCTTAAGCAAGCGAGCTCCCTGTAGTTGCTTCCGATCCAACAGTCAGGGAATGTCGTCGAATGAGCAGGGTCGAACGTCCACGAAGGAGCCGAAGCTTCACAGCGAACGAGCTCCGTTCTTGTCTCCGATCAAATGTCGAAACTTCCGATCCAGACAGGAAGGGAATGTCGTGGAAGGGAGCGAAGTCGAACAGAGACGAGAGATGGAGATCGAGAGCGAGAGAGGGAGGAGCGATTGCGAGAGTCCGAGAGCACCGGCTCTCTCATTCTTCTGTTACTTAACGCGACGAGGGGGTCGTGCATACGACATGCGAAGATGCGACTTCGGCGTGCGAGCGACGTGCCGAGGTCGTGGGATGGCAGAACAAGTATGGTATTTATTTTAATTTCTTCTTTTTTTTTTTTGTTTCTTTTGGCAGTGATATGGAGGTCAACAAATCTGAGTCTTGAGCTTGCTGAAGACTTTGACTGTCTTATTATTCGTTGTGTTAACTTGAAGTGGTTCAATGATTGGGGTGTATTTGAGAAGTTTAAATGGAACAGAGTTGTTTCATTAAACAATGATTTTAGTTGGTTGTTGTACCTATGGAGATGAGTTTGATTGTTAGCATTTTATTTTTTATCAAAGGTGATATCTTTTAAAGTGAAGAGGTTTTTGGTAATTGGATGATAACATTTATACTAATTTTTAGATGAATAAATACCCTACAACAACTCATTTGAGCACTCTAGGTTCAAGTTTACCCAGGGTTGTTTTGTGGATGTGGACATAAGCAATATACTCAAATAATTTTCGAGTACCTTTTGAAAAGCTATTTGTAGGGAAAATTCCGCATGCTATTTTAGGGGACTTTAAGTGGATTACTTTTAAAGCATAGTCAATTGAATAGGATGTGGTGGTTAGGGCTATTTTTTCCCAAAATTTTAATACAACTTGATTTTGGAAAAGAGTATAGTTATTTCAAAAAGGTTTTATGCCATCACTTTTTTTTTTTTTGGGGGGGGGGGGGGGTGTCAGTTTGGAGGGGGGGGGGGTGTCAGAACAGGAGGATTGATGAATGATAAATTTGTTATCAAAGAAAAAAGATAAAAGTGATTCTTAACTCATGTAAAATATTAACGATAAGTCATACTACAAATTTTAAAAATTAAAATAGATGGGATCTATGTTGATCATTCTTTCAAAAAGAGCAGATTCTTTAATATTAGAAACACTTGAGGACACCTATAAGATATGCTCTCAATAAAGAAATGTGCTTGTAATTGCGAATATTATCTATGTGAAACATTTTGATGTCAGCTTTAAATTGATTTTTTTATCATAGGAACAGAGATAGGGAAATGAAGTTGTCAAATGTCAACAAATTTTTGTTTGATAAGGTTTACTCATCATCTAAATGCAATAATCAATAAAAATGACTAATCCTATAACTCCAGAAGCGTAGGAGATTCTTGAGACTCCCAATATTAGAGTGAATTAACATAAACATAATAAAAAAATCTAGAATCACTTCATAAAAAGAAACATGTTTTTTTGTTTCAATTTCACAAGTCTCACAAAGAAACTCTTCAATTTTAATATTCATAAAAGAAGAAGAAAATATACACTATAAGATTTTAAAAAAGGGATGTCTATTGAGAGTGGATATGAAGGAACTTGATAGATGTTTTCTATCTTTGAGGAGGAAAGGATCAAAATGGTCCCTCAACTCTTTGTGAGGGCCGAGGGGTTAAAATGGTCACCAACTCTTTTGAGGGACTAATTTGGTTTTCCAATCCATTAAAATGAGACATTTTTTGTCCTAATTTTAAATGTCGAAGTTAACAGTGTTAAATGTAAGGGTATTTTGGTTATTTTTAAATTAAATATTTGTTAATGTAATTTTTAAGTAATTATAATTTTTCTAAGAAAATTTATTATATGTTTCTTTAATAAAAATTAATAATTTTAGTCATATTTTATAAAATATGTATGACTAAGTTAAAAATAACATCTATTTGCATTTGATTTCTCTAAATCAATAAATATCATATTTTATAAAATATGATTAAAATTTGTGAAATCAAAATTAAAATTATTATTTTTAATTAAAGAAACATTTAATAATTTATTTTTAGAAAAATTATAATTAATTGAAAAATATATTTAATAAATATTTAATTAAAAAATGATAAAAAATACATTTACATTTAACATTATTAATTTCAACATTGGATGTTATGACTACAAATATTTTATTTTAAGAGTTGAGGGATCAAATTAGTTCCTCAAAAGTGTTGGGGACTATTTTGGTCACTAAACTCTTCACGAGGGATCATTTTGACATTTTTCTCCTTTAAAAAGGTATAGCCCATCATTTTTTTAGATTGCCTAATCATTTTTCCCATTGTGTGGCTTTAAAATTCATAATGATTATGAAATTGTGTTCTTAGTGATTCTATTTTCATAAAAAAATTCTATAAGAAAAGCAACATGTAATATATTGTTGAGAGTAAATGTGAGAGAAATAAGAATTTTTAGTTGTCCTGTGATAGTTCTTGGAGAATCATGAACTTTTTTTTCCCATACTGCTTGGGCATGATTTGTAGGTTTGGAAATGATTGGCAAGATTTGTCATGCAATGGGTTGCTTTTGAATTTAAAGTCTAGGTGTGAAGAGAATTATCTGAGGCATTTAAAATGCATGTGTTATAATTCATATCATTTTGTGCTAAGAACATGACTTAGATGATTTTTTTAGGAAGTTGAAGACAATTTCTTTTGAGTTAAGCCATTCTGATTTCATATGACAAGTCTACCCTTTTAAGCAACCTTTCTTTCTACCATAATTTTGGGGCTTTTCCTGGAGTTTCCAATATTTTTATTTGATGTCTTTTTTTCTTTTAGTAGTTGTACCAGAGTTTGACTTTAAAAAGGATTTTTGTCCTTTTTGGGAAGGATCGGTAGCAACAAGTCATTTAACTTGAGGTTTAATGGTTGTCATAGCATATGTTTTTGAGATATGGTTGTCTAGTATTAACATCTTTCTTCCTTATTTGGCTTGTATGATTGAAAGACTTCATTCATAGATTATAGGTTTTCTTTGTTTAGGATCTGAACATGAACTAGATCAAATTCATTATTGATTCTGGCAAAATGCTAAAAAATCTCTTTATGCATACTATTTGAGAATCACCGCATTATAGCTTCACTTCATCTTAAGATCTTGGTAATAGTCTAGTTCAAGCCAATACACCTTTATTGCATTAAATTTTTTTAATGACAGGGAGGTTATTTTGCTTGGTTGTTAAGATTTTAGTTTTGATCTCATAAATGAGAGCTATATCCTTGACTTTTGAGATCTTGCTTGATGACATTCCAAATATTTTTTGATATTATTAGGAACATATATGATCCACTGATTTTCCAATCATAAAATTTACTTTATCCCAAAGTGTAAACTTAATTTTTTTTTCTATGAAAGAGGATCAATAAGACGCTGAATTTTTCATTTTCCTTTCAGGAAGGTCGTCAAATTTTGGGATCATTTTAGGTAGTTTCTTTCATTCATGCGATTTGAAGCATGTAGCTCCTAGAACTCTTCTTTAGTCTAGTTTTCAGCATTCATGATAGTTAACTCTTTACTCTTTAGAAGGAAAGTTAAAGGAACCGGACATAATGAAGAGAAGAAAAAATAAATGAGAGGAAGAATAAATATGACCCTGCATTGATACCTTTAAATGTGCTAATTTCTGTAATTATTTATGCAGCCTTATGCATAAATACTCATTAAAAAAAAACATAAATACTCATTGAAATAATGAACAATCTAAGCTTTTCTAGCCACTTCTTTTCCTTTTTTTTTACTAGTCATTTCTTTTTTATAAGGTATCAATGCAAGGTTAGGGTTCTCTTTTTTTCCAACAAAAAGAAAATTAATAATTACAGTAACAAAAACAAAAATAAAAATCCGGGGAATTGTCTGCCTGTCTTTTTATCTATCTAGGGGATGCCGATTGATGCCAAGGGAGCAATTTGTAGGCATTTTCTTTTCTTTCTTATATACAAATCCGTGGGGGAGTTATTTCCTTGTAAGCAATAAACTCAGCATCTAATTTTTCTTACCTAACACTCCTGCTGGCCCCTCTTGATCTGATGGCTCAGCAATATATATTTCTTAGAGACTTTTTATACCCCACAGAATTACCTGATCAAGAAAATAAAGACTTCTTTTTGCCTTTTGTGTATATTGGGAATTCGATGATAATAGGATTGACGTTGAATATAGCTGATTTGGTTGGAAAATTTGTGTGGCACTCAATTTTGATACATCCGTCTTGATTATTTATAGATCATTGCTCTTGGATGTCTACTGCTGCCCTTGTAACCAATCTGGTTCTCGTAGTTCCTAAATGCCTCCATGCTTTTGCTGTTCTTCATATTTGTCTCCCAATCCATACTCTATCTAAATTGTAAAAAAAAATATGGACAAACCTTTTGATGATGATAGACTTCAAATCTTTTTGGATAGAATGGCACAAATCAAGAAACTATGATGCTTCTGTGCTGTTTTTTTGGGAGTAAAACATGAAAAACTTAGGGCTTCCATGATTCAAGTTAAGATGCAAAATCTGTAATTCATATTTGACTCATAAACATAATACTTCTTCGTGAAACTATATTTAGTTATATTTTGTTAATTTTTAAACAGTATGCTTCTTCGTGAAAATCTGGAGATGAACATTGAAGCCTGGGAACTGGTAAGGTTGTTTTCCTTATTTTGCTCAATTAATATTATTAATCTACTTGTTTTTATAGCATTTTTCAAGTAATTAGTTCCTAAAACTTGATCTTCCAGTCATAATTGAATTTCTTTTATATTGTCTGGTCCGGTTGCAAAACTGTGCCTAAATAGTCTTCTTCTCTTTATTTCAAGAAATTGGCATCCCACATTTATCTTGTTTCTTTCTTTGGGTACATCCACTTGACCATGTTTCTACCTTTTATTTAATTCTTGGATATGGCTTTTATGTTGATATTTTTGTTTTCGAAGAAAGCTTTATTCGTTTAAGACTTCGTTTCAGACAGTTTTCTTACAGCTTTCTAAAGCAGCTTTTTACTAAAAAAATTTCTAGTTCAAGATTTTTTTGTACTAAAAAATTGTTTTTGAAAGTAATAAGAAAGTTGTCCAATCGAAGCCAATGACTATGTTGAAGCTATTAATAACTGGAATGCCAAAAAAATTAGTTGATGATGTAAAGGTGGAGAAAGACTGCGTAGTTTATGATTGTATGTTTTTCTTTTATCCTGCTGTGTGATATATGAGTATGTTTGAGTGTCCTGATGAAGTTTAAAAATTAATAAAAATTAGTAGTTTTTTTTTTTTAAATTTGTTCTTATTAGGGATTACACCCAAAAAATTCTTCTGCCATAATATTATGCTAAAAATATCAAATTTATTATGGATGCTTACTAATTTTCTAATCACAAATTGTGTATAGTTTTGAGGTTTTATGAATCTGTAAGCAATGTTTAGGCTTTTTTGATATTTTGGTATTTTTTTGATAGATCTTCTATTTAAAAGTATGAACTTTGCAGATTAGCACGAATATTTTTCGCAAATATATCGGCCCTGTGGATATATGGAGTTCAATATCATCCGCTTTGTCCGATCACAGTGGGAGCATCTGTTGTTTGCCAAACCAAAATCCCCTGAAATGTTATCAAGCAATGGCTGAGCATTATAGCCAGTGGGTGTGGTAAGTGTTCATTTAAAGCTTTCAAAAAGGAGAGAATTTGTTGTTAGAACGAGTAAAAGGTATAAATCTATCTGATATAATGTTCCTCAGGTTTCGGAAGTTGTTTGTTCTGCTTTCCAGATACACGTACGTGAACACTGTCAGAAGGATCGTTTACTAAACGGCATTATTGGAAATAATGATGGTCTTAAGTGTGAGATTAACTGCCCTCTTCTCCCCTCAAAACTTGTTTGTTTGCTGCTTGCTTACCCTGCTTCAATTTAAATTTTGTTTACTGTTTAAAACATTTTTTAATTTTATATTTAAAATATTGATTTAAAAAACAGTAAGAAAGCCGTCCCAAACGAACCCTTAAGTAAGATGGATTCAGGTGTGTTTGCTTGATTGTCGCATATACCAATCAGGAAAAACAAAGATTTATTATGCTGTTTTTTACATCATTTTTCTTTTGTATAACAAATGAAGTAGTTTATAATCGTTGAGTTAGTGGAATTGAGTTTAATTTTGTAATTGATAAAATTAATCAAGGTCAAGCATTAAGTTGGGATGATTCCTGCATAAACCTGTTATTATGAACAATTATTTTTTTTGTATTATTTGTTTCAAGTTTTTTTTTTATTCATTTTAGTTATTTTATACATTATGAATCATTTGAAGATATAGTGCGAGTAAACTATGTGGATTTTTTTTTATTATGTTAAATCGAAGGTTATATATTGCTTGTTTATGCTGTAGCTCATCTCATGTTTAGTTTTTCTTCATTTATAAAGAGAGTAATATGGAAGCAATAATTTTCAATATTTTGAAAATCTAAATTCCCGATGCTCATATTAAATATGTAAGCTGGCAACGCGATTCAGAAAGCCTGATATTTCTGATAAATGATGAATTCTAATCGAAGCTTGTAAATATCTTATTAAAAATTTTAAATTTTAAAAATCAATTAACAAGTTTAAATAATTATTCGCTACTTTTAAATGTTAAAACAAAGAAGCTTTAATTTACTATAAATTTATTATTATTTTATTTTAGACTACAATCATCATTTCAAAAAATTACTTGTAATCAAATTTATTAACATGTGAGAGCTGTATGAAAAGAATTACCTAACTATTTTTTAATAAAAATATTTATAATGTTCACAATAGAAAACTAAAAACTGAATTCGCTAAAATTTCGCATCACCTCTAAAAAATACTGATACCATTCCAAACACAAAGTTAATGCAATAGAAATAGTACTATCTATACATAGCTTGACGAAACATAATTTACCTGCAATTAATAACAAAATATAACTAAAAATAAAAGTTAAAAATATTAACTTATAATAAAAATAAATATAGGAAAATAATAACATTAAGATTTCATTTAGCTTTTTAAAAAACAACTTTCAAGTAAAAAAGAAAATTTTATACTTAAAACTTTTAAAAAATAGTAAAAAATAGTAAGAAAATCACCTCAAACGAAACATGCCGTAACACAAATCTTAAAAACCTAAGGCTTTGTTTAGGACGATTTTCTTACAGCTTCTTAAGCAAATATTTATACTAAAAAATTACTTTAAGCAGCGGTAAACAAGTCATCCCAAACAAAAATGTAAATCTAGCACTTCATCAATCTCAATCCTCAAACGAACTTGAAGCATTCAAAGTGATTCTTTCATCAATTATTTCTATAATACTGAACTAAATAATCAACTCAACATACACATTCGAACCAAAAAACAGGCACAACAAGTATGAGAACCAGAATCTGAAGATGGCAAAGCCGAAAAGTTGAACAGCATACGGATATCTATAATACTAAAAAAGATTAAGAACAAGCTACAATTTACCAAACAGCTTAATACTCATTGCCACAAAGCCTAAAACCTGTAGATATCAGAATAAAACACATCATTTCTACTACAAAAACAACTGCAACGACAAGTTACTTTCTCCAACATAATTTCAATCAGAACCAAATATTTCAATTCCCTTTTAAAAACTTATTAAGCTTTTACTTACCTTGCTTTCATGATAGACAAATCAGCCTCAACTAACGGGAAGCAGCTTCAATAAATATCCATTTCTAATGGTATCATACTAATTTCAAATTTAAAAAGCTCTGTATAATCGACAACAAAAATATCAGTTCATATCTGCAAAAAAATATTCTACACTTGTTATACTATATAGCAGGAGCTGCCATGATCTCCCAGATTAAAAGCAGATAACTGAACATAGAATAAACAGTACTACAGTGCAGAACTTGTCGACCATCTGTTAACCTGCTTGTTAAAAGTTTCAGTATTACAAGTTCTTAACAAAGCCAATGATCTGAGGGTTTGCATACAAAGGATACTTTAGAACTTGAAATCTCTCTTCTTAGATTTTCCTTCCTTTTCCTGCATTTTTCGCTTCCTCTTTTTCTCAGCCTGAAAAGATCTCTCCATGCAGAGTTATGAGAGAGAAAGAGAGAGAAAAGCAATATAAGTTGAGAAATGTGGATGGAAAACAAACCTCCGCAACCATGTCGCTGAAGTCTTCCTTCTGGTTCCTTAGTTTCTCTTCTTCGCGGGCTTCCTCGTACCTGTACAATTTGATACAAGCAATTCAGAGTAAAACCAAATATAAATACCTACCATTTTATATCATGCTATTTACATATCTAACACTTAAAATTTTAATATTACATATCTGTCACTCATAGAACAAATATAAATGCATGGAATGAAATATTAAAGTTTATAGGGTGGTATGGGTGATAAGAATGAATATAGGAGTGCTATATTTGATATTAAAATTTTATATGAGTATTAAGAATGTAATATTAAAGTTTTGGTTGTTAGATATGTAAATAGCATGAAATAAAGTGGTATGTATGTAAAATGTAAATCTCCCTAAAAAAAAAAGAAATTCCAACATACTTGGCAGCCAAAACGTCATCCATGACTTCCAGCTCCTCTGGTTGTATGGTAACATCTACTTTGTCTGATTTCTGGCCACGAAGAAGATCAACCTGAAGGAGATGCACAAACACCAAATGATTGATTAATTTACTTTTTTTCCTCCCTGAAATAGATTTGCCTTTGGGCTGATTTGGTTAGTTTAAGTTAGAAATATGTTTGTTAAATCTATCATTCGATTCGGTGATGGATTTTAAATCCAAAGAACGTATTTACTCACTCTTTTAGCGCCTGCTTTCTCTTGAGTTCCAAGTACATATCTGGATTTCATAGAAGATAAAACAAACACTATAGAGTTAATGGTACGCAATGAATAATCTTTCAATGACATGAAAATCATAACTGAAATATAAATTAAATCATTCAACAACTAATAATAAACAGTAACAACAACACATACGTGTGACTTGTTCCAAGCAAAGTTCCAGGGGCAATTCTTTCTTCTTTCTCTTCCAAAACCTTCACACAAAAAACTCGATAAGGTTGATTAAAAGCGGATGTAAGAGAAAAGGAAATTCATGTAAAAAACAAGTGCATTACTTGGTACAAAGGTTTTTCCTTTTCTGGTTCTTTCCTTTGTTGCTTGCGGAGGTCAATTACATCAGGTGTTTCCACACCAGTAGGAGTGCTGTAAAATGAAACATTAACAAAAGATTATGTTAAAAAGCCCAAACTTAAACAATCATAAAAATGTAGGGCAAAAGAAAAGCACCTTGAAAGGCTATCAACTGATTGAATGCCATCTTCCATCTCCTCCTCTTCAATTTCTTCTTCCTCTTCCTCTTCTTCTTCCTCCTCCTCTTCCAAATCTCCCCAGTGTTTTGAACGATCAACAGGTTCTTCCTACAAAATTGAAGTTGAAGAAAATTAATGTTTCAGAAGTGACTACTTGATTACTTGAGCCTGAACAGATATACAATGATAAACAAATAGATGAGTTATATTAAAAGATCATATGTCCAACAACGATAAATAAATAAAAGTTAGAATTTACATCATAATTAGGTTGATCTTGTTGTTGAACCCCAAAAACATCTCCATATAATGGACGCCCAAACTGTTCAAGCCAAGAAAAATACAAAATTATCAATAAAACAGGGAAACTAAGAAAAGATCAAGAGAGGTTCTTTAGACTCACTTCATCAACAGGAGGTTTACCCCAACCTCCAGGATGATAACCGAAACTGGCTCCAAGAGGAATGGGGGCATTTAATCCCGGTATTTTCAGTTGGGGATATGATGGTGGAGGACCATATCTCTGACAAGCAAGTTTTCATTAGTTAAGGTAGAGGAAAGGCATATTCAAAGTTAATAAATTAACAAAACCATGAACAACATACCTGCATATTAATAAGCCAAGGTGGCGGAGCACCCTCAGGCATACCAAGAGCTTCCTTTAGTTCATGAGACAGCATTCCTGGTTTCATTTCCCTTAGTTTAACCTGGCCAATTACAGAGGTAACCATTCACAACTACAGAACAATATAAAAGCATCAAAATGGTGAATGATGGCGCCAAACATCCAAGTCAAGTTCAAATATGTAAAACAAAATTCCCTGAAACCAGTTTCCCTCTTCGTGGTTCAAGTGTTGATCTCTAAAAATATCATAGGCACTTTAAGGGTCTGCTATGTACAGTTTTTTTTTGTCAACTTTACTTTCAAACCTCAATCACACCAATGTTTGACTACCAACCTTTTGACCGTGCTTTAAAGAATCTTGTTATTTAGAAAAACTATACATGACCAATCTCATCATCTTCCATTATAGATTGCAGTTTTGTTTCATGGTTCTCAAACCAAGATTTTATAATTCCCCAACTATATTTTAAAGAAATCATATCATAACTTCAAATACCGACTTTTATTATATTAGGTTCACAACCAAATACACAGACAATTGTGACCAACTCAAACAAACCTTGAGTTTGGATCAATCACTATATACTCATGATTAAATCAGTACAGTTACACATGGTCCAACAAAGATCCAAACCAATGAAAAATTACTGGCCTTAAAATCCAACTGGAATCAACACAACCTTGAACGGGCCACTGTTTGGCACTGATTAACACCACCAGGCTTATCGCCATCCTGGTCAACTCAGACAAATTTATCTCACTTGATATGACAGTATTCCAGTAAATTGGGTTACTGCTGATTGACCTCAATATATCCATTAAACTAGATGTTGGTTCAATTGGTACCAATTGAATCAGTCGATCCTTTGACCTATTTAATGGGCTCAATTAGCCATATTGAAATGAATTGACTCATACAAACCTGAGTTGACCGATGTTGATCCCAAGTGGCCTAATTGGTCAGAACCAACTCAATGAATCTTGGATGAACCACCTTAGACCATGGTTGGCCTACAATAATCTAGGTTCACCAACTTGGTCATGAATGACTCGATAGAGCTACTTGAACTTCACAAGGACTTATTAGCCTAAATTGATCCTTGTTGAAATAATCAATGTCCTACTTGACCTGATGAGTTCAATTAGAGCATGTTAATTTGAATTGTTCTCAATCAAGCATTTGATTCAATCAATTGGATTTCTTGGTTCAACAGTTAGGCCAACTGATCCCAATTGATCAAATTAGAGTTAGCCTGTCATAATTAGACCAAGTTCGTATCAATTGAGATCAAATATTGGTACCCATCAACTTGACTGACAGCATCCTCGTCAAGATAAAAATAACTTTACATCGGTTCTTTAGATGCTTTCTTCAAGTAAGCCATCCTCCAACAGTCCAACCCATAACTCAAAGCTTTATGCTCAAAATAACTCGTGAATACGCAAGATGACCTCAATAAAACAATATAATCACCTTAGCATCAAGAGATGAACCATCGAGAACTGCTTGAATAAAATGTCAGATATGGACTATGACTTCAAAAGATGTGGTGAAAATCCATTTCCACCCATATTCTTTAGGATTCTTCCTTTTAGGATAGATTTGAAATTCATGTACTAATATCTATGGCAGCACTCGTGGAAATTTTAAATTGGTAATGTCACCCATGCCACACCTCCGAGCAAGAGAATCACGTACTGAACCTATGAAAGCACTCGGAGACACTTTGTGCTTTTGAGACTATCTCCATATGAATCAACCAAACCTGCTTGTTGAACAATTATTTGGTCAGATGCTAACACCTATGAACTAAAATCCAGTAATATTGAATATTGATACTCCTAAGGCATTTTTTTTATTGAACCTCGCTCAGAAAGCACGAAACTCCTTTTGTATACCACTACCTAGAGGTTGGGATAGTAGAGAGGAGGCAATGTTGTTAATCAAACTCTCTAGATGACGCAACATCTTAGTCTTCTGTAATTAGTAGGCTAAGTCCACCAGATCAACCCGAGATGAAAAAACTATGTAATTTAAATTTAGCTAACTATTCATGCCCATCCATTCACCCAATAATCCTGAACACCAAACCACCATACAAAGCACAATAACAACCTGAATTGAGAGTGTTATCAAACATCATGCTTGAGATATAATTGACATTAAGGCTTATGCTCATGACCATAATCCCCTAGAATTAAAATAAGCCATAAATATGTTATCTTCTTTTAAGATAAAAGCTCTTGAGATATTGTCCTAACCTGCTTAGAAACAACATGATGCTCTCATCCTTACGAAGAATCCCAAACAAAGTATGAACAGGAGAATCAAACCAAGCTCATAAGTACTTCCAAAGCCCAAATCTAATTCAGGGTAGGGGCATGAATAAACATACCCAATCTAAAGCATACATCCATAACATAGCAATAAACACTAACATAATAGTTTTTATAGGTTTTTTTTGTATTCGATTACAAACTTTAGTCAGCCTGTAATAGGAACAGACTTGCAAAAATAAAACAAATTTCATTATTCTCACATTCAATCTTACAGCAGTTGGCAAAAACATGATCAGTATTTGACTTTAAAACTATACTAGGGATAAAAATGAAATTATTTAGACCAGCCTTAAAGAGTATACATCCTTATATTTAGGACTTGAGTTTTAAGCATCACAAGCTCGTTGCTTTAATATGTTTATGTTTTGGCTCAATTTTTTTAGGTGGTAGTTCAAGTATAATATTCAAATCCTATATAAAAGATTGAACAGTAATATTACCTCAAATTCTTTTCCTTCATGATAGAGATCACCATGTGTTGTCAGTTTTGGTTTAGTTTGGTATTTGAAGAAGGCGTCATGCAGAACCTGGAAGAAAGTAAACCTCTAAGTTAAGATGACTTCTTTTTACATATTCTTTAAGTTTCACAAGTAAAAAAGCTAAGCTTAGAGCTTATTAGAAAAAAAAAAAAAAGGATAGCCAATTACTGATACGTAACTTATTAACTACATGGAAGGTGATGAACATCATTGAACCAAGAGACATAATAGTTAAAAAGAGCGATTACCCCAAATTCCAAATTGATGGGTGTAATTCACAAACTGACATACGCAACCCCTCTACCAGCTCCAAATACACTCCCCCGCAGCCACTACCCACCTCAAACCACGCATCACTCACCACCCATCCCCAACAACAAAATAAGAATCAATTGGTACAAGTAAAAAATGAGGTAACCTAACCTGATAATCAATGTCCATCTTTCCCATCTTTGGTTGCATGCGTTCACGTTGCTTTTGTTTCAATTTCTTGCTGTCCTCTTTTTCAATGTATGCCTGTGCAGAAATACAAGAACGAAGTTTATAATGCTGGACACAGTGAATACTTTAACTGAAAAGGAGGATGCTAGAAACAGATTAAATATTGCAACAACACTTGAAAATTCATTCAACTAAAACTTGGAATACCTGTCTTATCTTTTCTATTCCAGTAGCAGCAATGAAGTCAGGAAGTTGAAATGGTTGTTTCTCAATACCACGCTTGCCCTGCAAAAAATTAAATATAAATGAAATCTAAATAGAATTTACAAATTGGATAATGCTACTAAATATCTTAGAAGAATCTAGTCAAATGGATGCCAAGTTAAAACTATAGAGGAGGTGTCACAGCCACAACATCTGCAAAGCCAAAAGGAAATGATTCAGTCTTAGCTTGATCGACAAAGTTTATTTTTCTAAGGCAGACTCTAGGAGAAACTTTTGTAAAATTATATCAATATCAGCAACTCCATATCCCAAATTTAAGAGGCCATGGGATAGACCCCACATCTCAGCTTTGACATGAAAAGCAAAGTATTTATCTACCTCTACCCCACCACCTAGCATTTATAGCAAAAGAGAAACCATTCAAAGGCCCCCTTCAGAAAAATACCATCAACTCTTGGCTCCATGACTGTTACAGCTGGTTCCCTGCAATAACCACATTAATTTATATGAGGGGTGTAAGCTTACTGGCTTTACCTTCTCTCACACTATCAAAGCCCCTCCAAAGAAACACACAAATTCCCTCATCCGAATATGCAAAAAGCTTTTAAAAATAAATAAATAAATCTGATCACTCACCTGTAAAAATTTTCGTTTTTGACACCAATGTCGTGGTACAGGTACAGTGTTTCGATATGATTTCAGAAATACAAGTAACTTTGGATCGGCTGCTGTTGCATCCCAGACCTAAAAAATGGTGAAACAAGAATTTTGAAAAAAAAAAATCATTTTATATGGACAGATAATTCAATGTTCAAATATAGTTCTATAAGCATCAATGCAAGCATCATCATAAGTTAGCATTCTGAAGAAAACAAATCAAAAACATGACACCAACATTCTCGTAAAGACTCCCAATTTAATAGAAAAAACTCAACAAATGACAAGTAAATTAGAGCATCAAGTGCTACCAGTTGTTCCTTTGTTTTAATTTAGAAGCTAGTGTAGTAAATCAAAGATTATAACAGAATATAAACAAACACTGCTATTAGGTCCAAAAATCTAATCGACTTTTTGAAATGCTTCATCCAAAAATATATTAACAAATTTAAGCATGCAAATAGTGTCTAATATTACTCATTGGGCATGTTCAATAGAGAGCAGAAGATACATCCATAAGTCAAGGAAATAAAATAAATGCAAAATGAATGGAAAGGATAACCAATGATACAAACAGTCTCACAGAAGCACATGACAAAGAGAGATGATAAGAACATTTGAAACTAAAAAAAATGCCTCAAACTCACTAAAATTTTCTTGTTGAATAAAAAAATGACTGTAACCTATTCAACTCAACGTTTGACCAATAATAGTTGGCTCGAATATTCAAGTTGATTTCAAGTTCACAACTGCTTTTTTAAAATTAGATTTGGGTATGCACAAGATTGTTATATATTTATATACTTGATAATTAGTATAAATAAAACCATACTTACTCCATTGGTAATTGCTTTGTGAATTGTGATGCTTGCAGGAGGTCATGCGTTCAATTACTCACTGCAAAACCTATGTTCATTTTAATTTTAACTCAAACTTAACTTTCAGTCAAGTCAACTTGGGTTGAACTGAAAAACTTCAATTTCAAGTTTAAGTGGAACTCACTCAAACTCAACGTTAGCAACCTTCGAAGAGCTGAGCAAGCAAGTAGGTGATGTCCTAACTTTAACAAAAATGTTCAAAATTTAACTTGACATGAACATCAACAAAGATAAATTGGACTGAGTGCGATCAAACATAACACCTCAACAGGATCAGATAGGCCAATGGAACTACACTACACATATCCATCATGCCCTACCCGAAACAAAGCATAAATTTCCTAATGATTAACCAAAATCATCACAATAATTCTCAATTCTAATGTATGGTTGTTTACTCAAGGAACAAGGTTATAGCAAAGCAAATATACTACATACTAGATATTCAGCTTGCTATTCATTGTCAAATAATTAAAAGAATAAACCAAATGGCTTTTGTAAAAAACAAATCTATATCCCTTAAGCAGATGAATTTCTTCAATTCAAAATATCTATATGACCAGTTCAAATGAGTTTTGATAAAGTACAACTCGGATAAACAATAAAAATAATATGCATAATAAATGGTAAACGGGTCATGGTAGAACCCATAAAAAAAAAAAAAAAGTAATATAAATAAGTCGTAGCATATAACAGTACCTCAACCACATCAGGCCTTGTACATATCTGTTTCAACTCGGCAATTTTCATCCTCCTTTGAAGCTAAACAAGGAAAAATGCTTAAAAATTCAGCAAGTCAAAGAATTAAGTAAAGGGAAATTTACATGCATACCACTATATACCTTTTTCTTCTTATTAGAGAGCCCTTTCTCCTTCTGTTGAGTATCTGGCTCATCATCCGAATCAGAGTCCTCTTTCTTAGCCTCTGCATTAGCAGCTAGCTCATCCTTCTTCTCATCGTCCTGCAACAAAATACGAGCAGAAATTCAACAATCAAACAGAAAAATTAATACACAATAATCCAACCAACCAGCATCCCCTTTACCTACCTCGCCAGCAGCAGAATCCTTAAAGCTGAACTTCTCAAACACGCTCTTAAACTCTTCAAGCAAAGTATCATCCAAATCTGCCTTCTCCGGAACATACTCCACCTCCACCGAAACATCGATCTGCAACACATCGCAAGAACATAACAAATAATCGACCCGTTAATCAAATCAAACCAGCTTCTAGTGAAACCCTAGCTTTTAAACAAACGCAATGAAGGATGAAAGCGAACAAAATTTGCAAGATCGTGCCATAATAAGAAGAATAAGAGTGTTAGACCAAACCAATTAGCGATAGACTAAAGTTAGGTCGGAAGGCGTACCTCCTGGCGAGGATCGGCGTTCTCCTTATCTTCATCGCCGCCGATTCCCCCATCATCGCTCTCTTCGCCATCGTCAGCGAGGGATGAGTGCTTGTTGCCCTTGTTCTTCTTCTGCTTCCGGCGACGGCGGCGTCGGTCGCTCTCGCGTGCTTTCTTATTATTGGCGACGGATCCGCCATTGCTCTGCGGATCTGGCTTAATAAGACGGCCGTTCGCGGCGGCCTCAGTAGCCGATTCCGATACGGCCATTGCTTCCCGCGTGATTCGAGTGAGACGAGGGCGGAAGGGAAGCAATGAGAGGATTCAGTTTCGTCGTCCTATCGATTTCTTAAAAAAATGTTGGATATTCGTGTAATATAGTTGATAAATAACCCTAGAACCTGAAGGGCTTTGGGTTTTTGATTTGGTTGCGATTTGCGATGTTAGAAAGCCATCTACCTTACACCTGGCTCCCAAGTCCCAACTCAACGGAATAGGATGGAGTGATGGACACATTAGGGGCAAATTATTGCGTCCAGTATTCGGATTCGTCAGTACATCAATTCAGGTACATCACGTCATCCAAATATGCTGGATCCCGATGCATTTGAGTGTAGTGACGCGTTTGAAATGAATGTCCGGACGTCCTGTGACCGGACTACGGACGAAATAATTCACCCATATTAGGACCTTCCTTAAATCTTGTTTTGAGATATTAATTGGATGTCTAAAAAGCAAAAAGTTTCATTTGGGACTTTTTTAGGTTAATTTATAAAAAAGAGTTGTTTTAAGTTTAAATTACTTTAAGGAGTAGGTCAAAGAAAAATTTTAAACAGAAACAAATATGAAACTTAATTATACGATTTCAATAGAAATCAAAACTTAATTATCCAGTTTCCGAACCGTACTCTATTCATCGGTTTCAATAGAAACCGGTTCTCTATTCACTTATTTTAATAAAAAAAAATAAAATTTTAGTACAAAATTTCAATATAAATTTATATCTATTGTTTTATGGGGTTTTTTAAAAAAAAAAATTTAAAAGTTGTTTTAGAAAGCCTTAAGAAAACTGCTCAAATAAAGCCTAATTTTTTAGTATAAAAAATCTTGAATTGGAAATTTTGTACTTGAAAATTATTTGAGAAAGTAGTAAAAAAAACGGTTACAAATAAAGCCTAAATAATTTAATTTTTTTTGCATGCTTAGAGTCAACTTTATTATCTTGATGAAAAGAATCTAATGAATTCAAGAACAACAAAGTTTGACATCATTAAGACGCTAAAACATATAAAGAATGGCATACATTAAATAAATCAATATAAATTATAAAGTATATTAAATATACATCATTAAAGCATATTAAATTTAAATATTATAATTATAATTAATAAATTAAATAAAAAATAATTTTTAGCATTTTTTAGAATTTAACATAAGATTCCTTTTTTGTTACTTTTATATAAAAATTCAAATTTTTAATGTTCTCCAATGTAAATTTAAATTAAAATTAAATTAAATAATCTTATTTACTTGATCAATCAAAATCTCCTCATACGATGGTTGTTTGGGTGATGGTGTAATTTATAAATTTTTAATATTCTAACCTTTAGTGGATTTTGATTTAGTCATGGCTGCAAATTTTAAAAAGGAAATATTGAAATCAAATGAGGTTTAAGATCTAGGATAAGGAATTGTGAAGTACTAATTTTGAAATAAAATTAAAACGGCTTGTTTTTAGAAATATGCAGAAATACACAAAACAATTTTATGTTTTTCCTTTAAATTTTATTTATTTTTTCTCGTTTTCAGTTAAGAGAGAGAGAGAGAGAGAAATAGATAGAAATCATTAGAATAGCATGATAGATGGAAGAAGAGATGGAGAGAGAAACTTTAGGGAGGTGGGAGAATTCATTTAAATCTATAATAATTTAAATTTATGTTTTAATATTTAATTAATTTAAATTTTTTTAATAACTTGTGATTAAAGTTTTAAATTTTAATAAAAATTAATATAAGATATTAAAAAAAATTTTAAACAGATAAATTATTATAAAAAATCTTATTTTATATTTTTTATTTTAAATCTATTGTCATTTTATTTAAACTATAAATATAA